CTTTTCAACCCATTCTCTGATTCTGTGATTAATTTTTGTCCAAGAAGTGCCAGTCATTTAAAGGTAGTTTTCAAACTTTTCCATTGTTAGGATTTTACTTTGATAAGCATGTTTACACAAGTGTGCCTTGTAATAAAATGCCTCAAAACAATGTAGTACAATTATAATTCAAACAGTGTTTTTTTATCTTTTGAGAGTTTTGCAAATATTAACTAATTAAATTGTAAGGTTCCCTTGTGTGTTCAGATATTATAATTTATCCTCAGGTCAGTGACTTGCTCAAGGCCACACAGCAAAGCAAAGGGTGAGCTGAGATCAGAAGCATCTGCCTTCTAGTCTTGTGCTGAATCCACTACTATTGCTTCAGAGTGAAGCTGAAGTCATTAGTGGTTAGAGATGTGAAATGCATTGTATTGATAGAGGCAGGCATTGTGTAATTGCTTCAAGAGCGTGACACTGAATATGAATTATAAATAACAATATGTATTACTGCTATGCAGTTAGCAGTTTATGCACCTATTTGACAGGAGTTTCCTCAGTGATTCATTATTCAGCTTTTTCTGTATTTTCCTTCTAAATCAACACCGAAAGTGGAGGCAGAGCTGTGTGTATTAAGAAGTTTAGAGCTGCAGCAAATATTCATCAGTGTGGGTTAGACAGCACAATTCTGCCAGCAGAAGCCTCAATAAAACTACTTCAGTGAACTGCTATACTGATAAGAAAAAGAAAGAGCATTGTCCTCTGCTGTCATTTGAGCCAAAATCACTTCTTTTTCATTATCTAGATCAGATAACTTTTTATCTTTCCTATTTCGTGATCCTGTTCCTGTGATTTTGTGACAGACAAACATGGTGTGCAATTAATTTGAAATAGCAGTGCTGATGTATGGAAAAATGTTTCCTGAGTGTTGAGATCAATACGTGCAAAAACATGAAAGGTGTGTGGATCCCAGGTATATGAACTGCTAGCAAAGAGGGCACTCTTAAGGGGGGAACACTGTTCAGCCAGGCATGACTGAGTAGGTGTGTAAGTACAGGAATCCCAAAGAAGTACCATGCATTTTTTTTCTGCTGTTTTCCTTCTTCACAATGTCCAAGTTTTCCCCTTTATTAGTCCTGTTTTTCTAAGATTGACTCCACCACCACCTCATTTTTCACAGCACATTGTTTTTAGGCTTCAGGTAAAGAGGAGTGAAAGGAGATTCCTGGATAATGGATATGGAAGAAATTTTTGTGCTGAGCCCCTGTGCCTAAGAAATGTCATTCTTCATGTGCATGTGGCTGAGGACATGACCATTACTGTTTTGGGCACTTCAAGGCAGGGCTAATTGGAGCTTCATGCCACTAAGCATATGGAGTTGCTCTATCCAAAATGAAAGGAACTGAAGGCTGAAATAAGAAGTGAAGCAAACCCACGGCTGAGGTAACATCTGGTCCTGAAGTGTGTCAGAAGTAGCAGTAATCACAAATGACAGGGTCGAGGTGGGCACCTTCTTTGTTACAACCATGGCAAACAAAAGATGCATCAAGAATGAAGTGACAAAACCACTCTTGCTTAGTCTGTATCTAAACTCAAGCAGAGTGGAGTGGGCTGGCAGGCACTGCGATCAGAGGCAGACCTGAAAAATGCTCGTCCTGAGGCTTGTCTACACAATCTGCTGCACGTGGAAACTTTCAGTGTTGCAAACAGAGCCTAAAAATGAAATAAACTGGATAGGAATAGGACCTGCCAGCAGGCACAAAAAGAAATGGTTGCATTTATTCCCTTGTTAAAAGTTAGTAGGAATTTCAATCTTTTCAAAATATTTTTCTCAAGTATTTGTGTCAAAGATTCAATGTTTAGCATAGGATTGGGATACTGCAACATAAGCCAGAATGCTGTCAGGTAAATTGCTTCACACTGTAAGTTCACAGGAGGAACTAGAATAATGACTGAATTTACACAAACCTCAATCAAAAAGGTTTCAAAAGCAGAGGAGTAGGATAATGTTTCTTAGTAATTCGTTTGTTAATGATGATTTACTCAGCTGAAGAGTTTGATTCCCTTTGCACTCAGCACTTCCCCTTCCTGACTTGGTATCATCACATCATTTCTGAGTTTCTTAGCCATTAGTAAGGTAAAGTCAAACTAAATGTTCTTCCTCTTGCTTGAGAATGTATTTGAATCTTCATAGCTTTCCCCACCAAGTAGGGAACACTACCAAGTACAGCTCTATAATGGGAGCATGCTTGTTAATATACTGTGTGGCATAGAGGTACTACTAGTCCTGTATGCCTGCAACATGCATGAAACACTGCATGTACTCAGATACTCAGAAGTAGGATGAGCCATAACAGCACAGGCATTTGAGATTAGATGTGCTTTATCTGCTTTAAGGGGGCTTGGTGAAGGCATTGTAAAGTTATAAAATAGATTTTTGGCTCCAGGAGTGTTTTAGAGCATCTACACAAATGCATCAGCACTCTCTTAACATCATCAGTGAAGTATTAAATGCTCTAGTTCTTTGCTAGGTATGTGGCTATTGTCATCTCTACTCTCCATTGAGCTTTTGACCCGTAGCTGTTCATTAAGGCACAGTTTGGAGAAGAAAGGTCTACAGTGCCATCTTCCCATGAGAGACCAAGCGTTTTGTTCAGAGCTGATCTGCTTCTACTTGTTTTAAAACCCATCCTATATCTCCCAAGAAGGGATCCATTCATTTTAGTACTGTGATGGCCAGTGGCTGTGGTGGTGAGCACACACATCTGGCATACAGTCATAGCAGTTAGCACACTAACTTAGGAAGTGAATTAACGAATGCAAAGCTAGGATATGAAAATTATATAGGAGTGGCTTCACAACATCCTTTTCCTCTTCTTTTTCCTCCTACACTGGTATTTTGGATTGGAAAGTGACTATTACAGATTCTGTTTTATGCTGATTCCATGTTGTCAAGTCTGTTTTAGTCATTTACAAAGCAAAGAAAAGCTTCAAGCCCCAGAATTAAGAGTTGGGCATTTCTTCAGGGTCAGAGCAGTGGGAGGTGAGTACTCAGCTTCCCACACAGGATGCTTCCCTGCACAGGCAAGCAGTTTAATGTTGGTCTTTGCCCTACCAAACTCCTCCACAATTTTCTAAATGTTATTTTAAGGTACAGTTTACTCTGAAGAATTGACTTACAATCACTGTTTGTCCCATTCAGATATTGGTGGAGTGAGTGTATGATAAACAGCTGGGGCAGGAAACTCATTTGCCATCTCAGAGTGAGTTGTGCTCACTTGTGAGCCACTTGGCTTTGAGGCCAAACAAAGAGGAACATGAGGGTTTGGTTGTTGGGAAGATAGATTTTTCTGGTTGTTCTTACCAGAATTTCCCATTGCCAGAAATTCAGCATGCAAATACTTCTCATCCTCATCAGCAGTAATTTTGTTTACCCTGTTGCTTATGTGTTAAAAATGGAGTGTTATGAAAAGAATTGTGCAAAATTGAATCATGATTCTGGGTAACATATTGCTGTGTGTATTAGCTGTGGGAATAGGTATTTTTCCACTAAGACCTGAAGAGAACTGAAAGATTATTATAAATTGACATGGGAAAGAATGGTCAACATCATAGCTTCCAGTTACCATTTCTCCAGTACATATTCATTTCAGTTGAAGGCTAATGGAGTGGGAAAGATATTGTCTGGTGACTTTGATTGTGAACTGGTGCAATTGTAAAGTAAAATCTGTACCTGGTGATTTGATGGGACATGTACCTCAGATATGCTTCTGAAGAATGCAGAAACTGTGGTTGGAAAAAGAGTGGGGAAAAATGTCACACTGTGATAGAGCTGATTATGCTGTGAAGATTCTTCGCGTCATTTTGTCATTTCAGTAGCAGATTTCTGTCATTATCAGCAATGAATTGTTTAAGAAATTGCAAAATCAAACAGTAGAGAAGACAGATATTTACTGTACACTTCAAAACATGGAAGCATAAGAGGTTTGAAAGATGCAGTGCAAAATCTTGGGGGAAAATAGATTCTTTCTAAACATGGAGATGTCAGGTTAGACCACAGGAAAGGGCATAAGTCAGCAGAAGTCACTTTGAAAGTTTTCTTTTCACTCTCAACAACTGCTATGCCAACCTGGCCATTCTAAGTGATTGCTGTAAAGGATCCAAAATATTTGCAGTGCACACGCATTCAACTGCTAGTGTACTAAAACATTTTTTATAGTTTAGGTTATTATTCTGATATTTTAGTTGGCTTCTTGGGTGTTGGCCTCACAGTACATTTGAGATCTAAACTACAGAGGAAAGGATTGAAGGTGGTAATTCATGGATTTGGCTTTATGCGGGTCTCTTTTTTCTCCCTAATATTATGAAACTGTTTCAGAAAGCCAGCTGTCTGATGCTTCTTGTTTGAGCATATACAATAGATCAGAATTTGTAGGAAAAAAGGACTGCTTGTGTCCAAATCACAGTGTAAGGGCTTACATAGCTATTATGTAGTATATTTGTATTGTTCAGTATTCCAGATAGTATTTTAGCACATTATCTGTCTCAGTTTTAAGTAAAGAGCATTTCTGGCTAGTTCTTTTCTATGATACCTTGGGAATAATGAAGCAGCAGATTTTTAGAGAGGATGCTTGTTCCAGCCTCTGTTTCCTCTTCATATAATATCTGCCTGCTCTAAATTCTCATTAGCATTTTCTTCTTGGTCACTGATTATTTTTTAATGAGAAAACGTGTTTCACCGTGATCTGGAATGACGACCAAATGACACCTGGGCCCTTAAGCCTTAACTCTGCTCCCATGCAAATTAATGGCAGAGCTCTTAATGACTTGCTTAGGTATGAGCTGGGACCTCTACAGAGCAATTTTAGTTTAAGGAGGAGTTTTCAGTGGGAAAATCCTGAGTCCCATCTGTGGTGAGGCTCTTTGCTTACTTTGCAGTAAGTGTTCCCCAAGTTTGTCTAAGTTCCCTGCAATTGTTTGGGATAACTTAAAATTCCTAATTGTCTGTGTTCAATTTCCAGAGAGAGCATGTGGGGCTGTGCCAGGTCAGCTGCTAACCCTTTTCGTTTTTTCAACTCCAGGTATGAAGCATTTTATTGTGTATTATATAATGTTCTGTTGTATTGACAAAAGTCTAGTAGCAGTACTTTTCAACTTTATTTCCCTCTTTATGCCATGGCTGGGGAATATGTGGGGTTGGACAAGGTCCAAAGTTGATCTTTGGTTTTGGTTTTTATTCTTTGGGGCTGGGAGGATGGTGCTGTGCACTGTGAGAAACTGCAGGGTTTTTTTCCTTATCCTAGTAAATAAAACAAACGGGAATAGCTAAAAAGAATCCTACCTCAGGTTTGGTAATGCAGCTGAAAATGTCCAAAATAGCTTACTGAAACTGAGTAATACCTTGCTTTATAGATGGTCAGTGTGGATCTAGATAACTTAGGTTCTAATGGATCATTGTCAGTTGCCACAAAATAGTAGACAAGCAAAGCTGTAAAATGCAAGAGGAGGTATTTGGAAACAACCTCTTGTTTGTTTGGTGGTTTTTGTTGTTGTTGTTTGTTGTTTGTTTTTTTTGAGGATGCCAAAAATGTAAAACTTTATTATGTGATATGTCCAGTAGATACCCTGGTGAAGAGTACCTAATCTAGTGGGAGGTTCCAGCAAGTCTGTAACACTTTTTCACACTACAAAATGTCTCATGTTCACCTTACCTGCACAAAAATGGCAGAACAAGGATATGAATGCTGATAGGGTTATTGGTTTTGTTGGTTTCATTGCTCTGGCTTTATTGAGTTCTAAAATAGTGTGCTTGTTTGTTTGCTTGTCCTTCTCCCTTCTTTTGTTTTATGGGCCTCTGAAAAGATTTCTTTGGAGTTGTATTTATTGTGTGACAAGTATAAACCCATCAACTCACTGCTTTAGTTACTCTTAATATAAATCCATAGACCACCTATCTGTGGACTACCAAAGGAGAAACAACTTCGTTCATTCACTGTAGGCAAATAAGTTGCAGCAGAAAAGTGATTCTTCACATTTACAAGTAGATCTAATCTTCATAAGAAAATTAAGAAGATGGCATGTTTAAGAGCAATTACGCTTTCAAATTGCTAATGAGTAGTAAAATACAGAAATCGTTCCTCAGATCTACTCGTGTCACCAATTTGCAGTTAATTGCATTACAACTTGTATATTTATATTAAAAAAATGCAAGATCTTATTACTCAAACATTTTCAAAGTATTTCTTTGTGAAGTCCAGTACAGAGGTCTAAGCTTTTCTGTTAGTTGCTATTTCACAGGAAGTTTTACCCTTTTTTTTTATTTATTTTTTGTCCAAGTCTGTTATGTTGTCAATAATTTGCTCAAACAGTTGTGAATTTACACATACCATCACAGAGAACATGAGATCCTAATGAGATCCTAATAATAAGTCCCCTGAACAGGATGCTTAGTTAGTAGATGGAGATGGTGTGAAACATCTCATATACCATCTCTGCCACTGCAGATTTGTTGGCTTGACAGGCATGAGATGAGTCTGAAATTCAATATTTTTGTGAGGCAAATAAAGCCATAAACTTGGAAGAGAAATACAGGGACTTCTCTGTCTTTTTTAAATAATGGAGCAAATTGTTCAAGAAGGTCACATCTGTCAAACCTCATTTAGACCATGTGGACTATCTGCAGAGTGATATGGGAGAAGTGAGGCCAATGAGATGAATATTTAAGTCAGTGTATCACTTGAAATTATGAAATCTTACGGCCCACTTAAAATTTCTTGTATTGCTGGGAGTATTTCTCACAGCTGGTCTTGCTTCTTGGAGTATGGAGCTATTACCTTTTAGGAATAGTAATTACATGTCAGAAATGAGCTCTGTTGCAACTAAAGACAGCTATCTGAGGATATGTGTTTCATTTGAGTGAAATTGTATGCATCCTTAGCTCTGTTCTTTTTTCATTTCTTCCTATTTAATTATATTTTTCCACCAAATTTCAAAAAAGCTATTTTTTCCACAAAATAACACAATTATGGTATTTTAGTTATGAAAGTACTAAAATATTTGCAAATGTTTTCTTCATGGCAACTGGAGAGCGGAGTGCATCATCAAATCCTGAAATAACATTTTTGTAGGTTGATTTCCACTCTTTATTGTGCTCACCAAATCTGTTTTACTCAGAACTGATCCCTCCCACATTCAGCATCTGCTGACCTCCATGGATGGCTGCAGGCTGAGGTTGTTGTTCCAGTTCAGAGATACCAACTGCTCTTTTCCTGTAATTTGCTGGGCATTTTGTCTGTATTTTCTCTCCTGATGTAGAAGTTGCCCCATCCACCATTTCACCATTCACAAAGTGATTCTATATGTGAATCTCAGATACTGGTATGCACAACATGCCTCTTCACCCTTGGTGTCTTGCAGACAGTTCTGATTTTGATCCTTGCAATTCACCCCATTCTACTTTTTAGCACCTCATTCCACAGATTTGGCCAGATGGAAGATGTTTGGCAGCTGGAGGACCCAGATGCCAAATTCTGGAATACAGTTTCCTTGCATTGGCACATAGATTTGTTGCTGGCTTCTTGGCTTGTACCTCAGCTAGCTTCTTGGCTAGCTGTCTAGCTGGCAGCTGCAGCACTGCCTCTGGGGCTATGTTAGGGTCAAGCTGCTATGGAGTTGGATGACTTTCCTGATCTGAATCACCCTGCTTTAGTTTCACCTTAGTTTGCTTTGAGTCTCCGCTATTAAAAGACAAACGTTTCTACTGTTGTGTTTTATTGCTGCCATTTGTGAGACTAATTCAAAGTAGATCTCATTTGTCACCAGTTTAAAAAGAAAGTAAGCATGGCAAAGTACACTGTTTCACTTGTTGGGATTCCCATTAAGTCAGTAGCAATTTAAAATCCAGTCCGGTATTTGCAATTTATCTCCCACACCAAATATTAACTGCAGAGCACAGGATTTAAAAAAAATAAATGTTTGTGTCTAAACTTTGATTGCTTTCAGCCATGAGTGAATGTTGCCTCTGTTGAATGGAAAAAAACGGCGTATTTGGGAGACAATCTGCATCATTTTTAAGGAAAAAGAATAAAAAATAAAGTTGATAATAAATAAAATATAGCTGAAGAAGAAGATGCTTGCTCTTCTCTTTGCCTGATTTGGAATGTCCTCATTACATACTTCAATTTTACCTTAGATGTTTTTGTTGTCATTTTGTTGGTGTTTTTTTTTTAATGAGGTAATGAAAAATTAATGCATCTAGGATAGCCACAGCATTTGAAGTAATTCCCTAATATATCACTATATCTTTCCCTCCATGCAGCTCAGTGCATAAACATCGCTTTCAGTGGGAAAAACTTCAAAATCAGGAGGTCACTGAGATTCCAGATACACGCAGTAAAGTATGGATTAGTCAGACTTAATATAAAATTTTCATTCCTTCTCTCAGCTGTACTGAGAACATGTTGAGCCACACTGGAGGCAGCAGTACCTCTGTTTCACACTGATAAAACTTGTTAACCGTATAGTAAAAAGCACTTGTGCCTAGCTTACATACAAACTTTCTCTTCATTGCTTATAATTTCTGGAGAATGATCTGACCTTGGAAGCAAAGCACCAGAATTCCTCATTATAGTCATTACAGACTCACACCTCAGGAGTGACCAAAGAAAGGGCAGATCCTCTCCATCTGATTTAGTTGTATACTTATCTTTCATGACTGTCTACAGAACTTAAGTGCTTCAGAGTACAGCCATGTTACATTGGGTGAGTTGTTAGGGACTTCAGAGGGGACTGGCAGGAACTAAGAGCATATTTTCCACTTACAGAAGGTCGTTACAGCCTTTTTTCCAGATGATAACAGAAAAGAAGTGGTTCTTTTGAGAAAAAGCTGGTAGCAGCAATGGCAGTACATCCACCTTTTGCAGAAGTTTGTTAACAGCTTGTCTAATGAGGCCTGACTTTTAGATTCTCAGCACAAGCATCACAGATACATTTTAATCATTAGGATCTTAAGCACAGGTCTTATCTCCCTTCTTACTGAATATAGAGCACTGTACAGACAAGAGCACTGGATGAGATGGAGAGTGAGTAAGCAGAGCCTGAATCCTAGCTGAATATAGACAGGACAGTAGCTATGGGTTTAGTTCCCTGAAGCAGCATTAGAACAGAAACTGGATAGTGAGACAGAGCTTCCACCATTTCCTGCTTGGAGCTGAATGGGGGTTCTTCACAAAACGCACTCAAAGTTCAGGAAAAGAGGCACCACCCTATTAAAGAGATTCTTGTCATTCTACATATCTAAATCACTTTGGAAATAATATATAAGGTAGAGCAAATTCTTTTTTAAAAAAACAACACACACAACAACAACAACAACAACAAAAAGCCAAAATGATACAGGTTAATAACTCCATATACATTCTTGTCAAGTGGAAAAACAATGTATGCTAATCATTAAAAAAAAGAAAATAAACAGCTGCAGAGATGGTTTTCTCTGCCTTGCACTTCTTGTACAGCTTGTAATCCAACAATTCTTAAAAAAAACTTTAAAATATTCATGCTGCCAAGAGGTTGCTGTAAAACATTGTAAAACAAGTAGAACTATTTCTCTTAAGGCCAAAGTGACCACAAGGGACAAAAATGATGACAGAGCAGAAACAAAATTCCATGTTTTGTTTATCAACAACGTTTTTTTTTTGCTTAGTGGCTGATGCTTGGAGAGAGAACCTGTTTACTTCTATGAAAGGCTTGTATAGGGTTTGCTGAATCCCAAGGCAAAAAGAAGGCACAGCTTCTTGCAAGCTATTCTCTGTGTGATGAGCTTAAGCCATTTGTGGATTTGTATGTTCCATTTTGACGTGATTAAATGTTGTAAGTCTATTGATTTAATGCTGGGGATTAATGATGCTGAATGAAAGAGCATCAAAGAATAAAATGTGTTTACATGCCTGATTAAAATACCTTAAAGAAGAACCAGAGAAACTTTTTTTGGGTAGGAATGAGATAGGAGCAGGACCATTCATGCATTCAGCATTGAAGGGAAGCTGAATTAACTTCTTTGGGCATAAAGAGAAGAATGAAGATG